CACCAATTTGTTGAACATTTTCTATTTGTATTCCATCCATTTTGGGAGCGTTGCTTTTCACCAGTACCTTCAGTACAGCTTGGACGTCTTTCTTTGGTACCATTGGTTCTTGATCATATGCTACCTCTTGAAATGGTTGAACATTTTTTTTTTTTTTTTTGTAAAATGACTCTGTGTATACCTTCCATCCTCATTTGGTGCTTTCTGCATCATTCAATATTTTGTCCATGGAATCCTTCAAAATACAAGTTGGACTTGATTTTTTTCTTCAGTTCTTTCAGCTTGAGAAATGCTGAGCATGGTCTTTCCTTTTGGTTTTCAAGAGTTGTGTCAGCTAATAAAGAAGATGTCATCCAATAATAACCAAGGAATCTGTGGTTCTATGATGCTTTCTATTTGGAAAGGGCACAAATATAGATGTTTCCCAGTTAGTTGATTAGATAACTGTCTTCCAAATATCTTGTCATAGATGAGTGAGTGCTTCTAGGACATTCCAATTTGTCTTCCGTCAGTTCCCAGAGCCTTGTTCATGGTCAATGCCTTCAGTGTGCCTGGGACTCTTGATTGTATGCTACCTCTTGATAGGATTGAACATCAACTTTTTTTTCTTTTTGGTACAGTCACTGTATATATTCCTTCCATCTTCTTTTGCTGCCTTCTGCATCATTCAATATTTTGCACATTTGTTGTTGTTGTTTGGTGCCATCAAGTTGGTACCGACTCGTAACAACTCTATGCACAACAGAACAAAACACTGCCTGGGCCAACCTCACAATTGTTTCCACACTTGAGCCCATTGATGATGCCACTTGGCCAATCCATCTCATTGGGGGTCTTCCTCTTTTTCTCTGACCCTTCACCTTACCAAACATGATATTCTTCTCCAGCGACCAGTCCCTCCTGACAGTATGTCCAAAGTATGAGAGATAAAGTTTGGCCATTCTGGCCTCCAAAGAGCACTCTGGCAGCACTTCTTCCAACACAGATCTGTTTGTTCTGTTGGCAGCCTACGGAACTTTCAGTATTCTCCTCTAACACCATAACTCAAAAGCATCAATTCCTCTATGGTCTTTCTTATTCACTGTTCAGCTTTCGCATGCATATGAGATTATTGAAAATACCATGGCTTGAATCAGGCTCACCTTAGTCCTCAAGTTGATATGTTTGCTCTTCAACACTTTTAAAAGGTCTTGTGCAGCAGATTTGCCTAATGCAAATTTTATCCATAGAATCCTTCAATATCATAAGTCAAGATTTGAAATTTTTCTCAGCTTGAGAAATGCTGGGCATGTTCTTTCCTTTTGGTTTTCTAATTCCATTATAATATTTGATTTTGTCTTCTCCAGAAGCCCTTTGAAATTTTCTGTTCACTTCTTTGACTTCCTCTATTCTTCTATTTGCTTTAGCATCTCTGCCCTGGGGAGAAAGTTTCAGAAATTTTTCCAATACCCACTTTTATCTTTTCTTTCTTTCCTGTCTTTTTAATGAACTTTTGTTTTCTTCCTGTACACTGTTCTTGGTATCATCCCTCAACACTTCTGGTCTTCAATCATTAATGTCTAATGCATCAAATCTGTTCTCTAGATGGTCTCTGAATTCAGGTAGGTTATGTTCAAGATAGTATTTTGGCTCTCATGGACTTGTTTTAATTTTCTTCAGTTGAATTTTCATATGAGCAATTGATTGCTGGTTCCAC